ATGACAGAAGTCATTTTTATTTGGACCTGTAAGTAAGAATATACTTATCAAACTAGGCTATAAGTAATAGGTTTACACTTGAAAATCCAATGCTACTAAATTTTGTATGAGTTTTTTTCTCATTGATAGCTCAAATTATCCTAGCTTATTTTAAAAATAGTCCTAAGAGTAGCAAAATTTTAAATTTAGTATGTTCTTTTTTATCATTTCACACCAAATGAACTTACAAAAATAGCCTAAACCTTGTACTAATTCTAACATTGGGGCATGTTTCTAAAGAATTGTAAAAATTAAGTTCATTTAATAGTTTGTGAAAAATAAATTTTTCCCTGTACTATGATCATATATTCCATTTAAGTTTATATGTATATAAAATAAAAGTTTAACAAATCAAGTTAAAAGACTAAATAAATAAATAATGGTTATAAAAATAAAATTTTGATTAAATCATTATAAAATGAAAATGTAAAAAAAGGGAAATTGAAAATATTTATTCTTCCATTTACCAAAATATTACAAAAAAAAAAAAAAAAAACAAAACAAAAAGAACAACATCTTACTTATTATAAAATGCAGATTGTATGTGTGTGTCTGTAATGTTTATATATTGGATCGGATTTCCTACATTTTTCAACCGATTTCAACAAAACTTCACAGGACTACATAAAATTACCTTGTGGTGGTTCTAACAGTGCCAAAAATGGGGAAAAATATAATTGTTTTTGCACAAAATCAATTTGAAAACACAATTAAGAGACATCGTGAAAATGGAAGGGGGACAACTCACATCGGGTTGTTTTTGTGTGTGGGTTCCTTTAAATATGGGAGCCGGATTTCCTATATTTTTTCAGCCGATAAAACAAAACTTCACTTTTTTTTTTTTTTTTTTGGCAGGTAGTGTTTCTTATTCTCTTGCACACTTTTTTCTTTATTTTTAATATTCAGAATGCTTTAAAAATTCCATTTACAAGACAATTGTTTATAATAAAATTCTACTCAATCGGTAGAGACTCATAACGATTAAAAAAAAAAATAATTAAGACATGCATGTCCGTCAACCTTAAACAATAATCTAACGATCTCTACTGATTGTACGAATACAAACATCGGATAAATTCTTTATCTTTAGGGAAAGATAATGAAATTTAAACAGACACAAGTTCCAACTAAAAATAATAACCGGAATGGGAAACTACTTTAAATACACATGGTGTCCAATTTTTTTTACTGTATTCAATAAGTAAAAATCATAAATTGTAAAAGATTATTATTACAGAAAGGCTACTAAATGAATAAGATTTGTTAGATCATAATTAATAAACCCAAATAAAGTTAATATTTTTTGTATTAGAAACAACGAGTGGAAAATATATTCAAATCAGAATTCTAATTATGAATCACCACAAGCAAAATATGCAATTTTTTTTATTGTATTCAATAAGTAAAAATCATAAATTGTAAAACTAAAAGATTACAGAAAGGCTACCTACATTTTTCAACCGATTTCAACAAAACTTCACTTTTTTGTGGGCAGGTAGTGTTTCTTATTGTCTTGCACCCTTTTTTCTTTATTTTTACATTCAGAATGCTTTAAAAATTCCATTTACAAGACAATTGTTTATAATAAAATTCTATTCAATCCGTAGACTTATAACGATTGAAAACAATGTTTTTGTTTCAGTTTGGGTTTGACCAATTCGTAAAAAAAAAAAAAAACTAATTAAGACATGCGTGTCCGTCAACCTTAAACAATAATCTTTGTCAATTTTATTTTTCAGTCTTTATGATGGTGGATACTTGATCTATCTCTTACTGTTATATCCCCGGGCAACGCTGGGCTCTACTGCTAGTCTCTACAAAAAGGAACATAGGGACTGACCTAAAAATAAATTAAGAGATCTTTTAAAAAGTTGAACTCATTCTAATAACCTTGAACCTTATACAATTTATTTTTTTTATCATCTCCCCAACTCCCACAAGCAAGGCAATTAAGATGTAGGGGGATACTGAGCATGAAAGAATATATAAAAAAAAAAAAAAAAAAGAAAAACATTAACAAGGAGCAAGAACAATAAAAGAACAGAAATTAAGACGGACGGTAACGATTGATAATGCATTTAAATTTTTAAAGATCAAAGATGACTGGAAAGCATGGAGCTGTAAGAGAGTTCCATAAGTGAGAAGTGCAAGAAAAAAATTGTTAGCATAAAAGTTTATTTATTTATTAATTATTTAGCTATTTCAACTGTAAAATGATGAAATCTTGCCATCAATGTAGAACTACACTTAAATTCATAGAGTCTAGGTTTAAAAGAGGAAAGTTCAGAATAATTACCATGAAAGTATTTATAAAAATGGCACAGGTAAGCTATGTTACAGTGGTAGGAAAGTGACTGAATCCAAGATGGCAGGTCAGGACCAATAACATTGCAGATTCTTCTTTAGGTTTTATTAAGAATCTCCAAATATATAGCAGGAGCACCAGACCAGATGTGGCAGCAATATCCAAAGCAAGGACTTATAAATATGTAAGACAGATTCGTCCGAGAAAAATTGTCTAACATGACAGCAAACCAACTTTCCTAGCAGCGGACCTAGCAATTGATTCAATATAATGTTTGCATTTCATGTCAGTAGAAAACGTTATCCCAAGAAGGTGCAATGAATCACTCTCCTGGAGGTCAGCATTAGCCATGCTGATGGAAGGCAGAAGTGGACCTTTTAGATGATTAATAAAGAGCAGTTTCATTTTGGAGGCATTAAATTTAACATGCCATTCTTTGTCCCAGTTAACAAAATAATGTAGGTCATTTCTGAGATCAGCTGCCAATTTGACCGTATCAAAGTGATCAAACTCACTATTAAGACAATTATTGTGATATAATAGCCTAAAACTAATTTTAATTTTAGATAAATCTGGAATGCTTACAAATGAGTTGAAAAAACATTTATATTTAAGGAACTTATTTTCATAGAATAAAATTTGTTATAAATGTATATAATAGTTATAAAGAGTATCTTCGGTTTCTGATTTTTCTGCTTTATAAAAATAAAAAAAGTTTATTTCAGTTTTATATTCTTGGATTTCTTTTGAAACAATATATCTAGTTGAGCATGTAAGGGCAACAGCTTCAGTGGGTGTCTTATTAAGTAACAAACTAAAATGTCAGGAAAAATAAACAATTTGACAAGGAGCATTAATCTTCCTCTTGGTATGAAAAGAAATGATGTAAAGCATTATTCAAATAACTGCTGCTGCTGCCAAATTTGAAAGAATACACCAAGAAACCAAGAGGTGAAGAGAAGCAAGCAAGAGAAAGAGATCTACTTGTAGAATATAAATAATGTCAAGGGATAAACAAAAATTTACTCAACTTACAAGCCAAATGGATAAAATAAATATAGATATCAGTTAATATTAAGGAAACAGCTGGATGGAAAATTCTTTGAAGAAGATGACAGCATTTATAATCATATAAACTATTTAAAATTCTAGTCCTTCAATATTGATCAGAGTCAATTGCAATTGGGCAGAATCTGTGATTAGAGACTGAACTTGAAATGACTTATCAAACAAAAGAACTTAGTAGTATATATTCCAGTGCAAAAAAAAAATGTTGGGGTAAAAGAAGCAGTAATTATAAGATAGTTTAGAATACAATTGCTGATTTTGACCCTTAATTTCCTGATCTGAATCAAAGGGATAATCTATCTTAATGCATTGAGCTACCCAGTCATTGTTTCACTAACATTTCTACTTTAAAATTTGACAAGCCAAAAGTTATCTTGTAGCTAGTTTTAGTATCATTATTCAAAAAGAAGCCTTACACATAACAGGTGATAAATTGAAGCTTGAAATAGAGTCTTTTAGGTAAATAAAATTAACAAATCAGAAGGAAATATTTAAAAGAAACAGTACCAAAAATATTAATAGGATGCCTGAGCACAATAATCAAAAATTGGTTGAAAATCCAAATAGAATTTTAAAGAAAAGCTCAACATTTTTGTCTATATTTCTGCTTTCACTTAACATCTATTTTTGACATAAGAGAACAAACAAAACTTTGGAAACTGACAAGATAAAATGATTCTAAGTGTTTTCTTTTTCTGTACAGCAGAATTTCAAATTGTGGAATAATTGGCCATGGTTAAGTGAAATTGACAAAGTTCTCAACAAACAATAAGAAGATGGAGAAAAAGAACAGGGCTAAATAATACTAATCAAACAATGTGTGTGTGTGTGTACGTGTGTATATATATATATATATATAATGCAAGTCAAAACTAGGCAAAACAAAGCAAGAGTAATAAGGCAAAAACTTCACAATGCAAGAATTGTGTTCAAATGCAAAAGGGATACAGTCAAGTGGTTATAGCAGCAAGAGTGAGCAAAATTGTGTGGGGGGGATGAGACAAAATTTCTCATTTATAAAAATGAGAAATTTTGCCTCGTCCCCCACATTAGGAAGAAATTCCAGCATGCATCTGTAAGATTTGTCTATAAACTTGGGGAGATGTTATTAGCAGTCATTTCTAATAGATTGGGACCAGCACAAATATCTTTTTACTGATTTTAATTGTTTGTAAATAAAGAGTTACCAATATCATTTGTTTGCATGACAAATATCTTTAGGAAAAAAAAAAAAACTAATGGAGCTCTGTTTTTTTTTTCCAAAATAATATTACATCAATTTGTCCTGAAGAACAATAGGTTTTAGATGGATTTATTTTCTATGGCTTGTCAACATCTCGCATATTATTTAATTATATGAGCATTTTTTTTTCTTTTTTTTTTACATTGTAAGAATTTTTGGGAGTAAATAATATAGTGATAGAAGTCTTACTAATTAACCCATAGCTGCAGGGAGAAGAGGTGGATTCATACCTTTCCCAAGGGTATTTGTGTGTAAGTGAGTATAATGAACCCAATGGGAATTGGAACTCAGCTCTTCAATTAACAATTCTGAACCATTATTCATTACACCACCTGCACATCTAAGCTTACAGCATCTGGTATCCCCCAAGCAGTCATCCATCTAGGTACTGACCAGGCTCAACATTGCTTAACTTCAGTGATCGTACAGAAACAGGTGTTTTAACATGATTTGGCTGTAAGCCTGAAGAACATACGGTTAACTTATTTGTTTTTGTATACAGATTCTTAGGCTATTATATATATAAAGAACAGAAAGAGTTGTTAGAAAATAAATAAGTAATCAACCAAATAAATAATAAATGATGAATATGACATTATCTTCTCAGCAAAATATACAAGTCTGGGGCTGCAGTAGATTTTATATACAGATGTAATACTAGTTTATTTTTATTTTAATGCTAAATAGATTTTGTACATTAAAAAGGTTTGAGCCAGTTGACAGAATAAGATTATCAAGTAGAACTAAGGTGTTAGCTGTAGGCTGATGCACAAGGTTGGAGCTAAAATGGGAACATTATGAAATGACAAGTTTGTACAAGTATATGGTGTGATGCTAAAATGAGTAGAAGGAAGAGAAAGTCAAAATAGCTAAATGATAAAATCAAATAGAAAAAAAGATAGGTACTCCTCCCCACATTCTTGAATACTGCAGATCACCAAATTTTGAGGGATATTTTGTGTTGGGTCAAGCTGTTAGAAAATTATCAAAGAATGTGAAAATTTGATTTGAAACTGGAAAAAAATGTTTTTGATCTTAAGATACAGATGATGTAATATTTGATGTCCAGATGAAATAAACATTGAGATGTAAAAGGAATTCTAAACATTAATATTAATCAGTATTCATGTATACAGATGTTACCGCAGATTGCTATGTGATGCAAGGTGAGTGTTAAGGTCACATAGATAAGATATGTTTTATGCCTACATTAACGTCTGTGATGTGTGTTCTGATATCGGCTCGGAACGAGAAATCACAGAGCTGAATTTGAATTTCCAGTTGGGTTTCACTACAAATACCCTTGGCAAAGGTATGAATCCACTCCTCTCCGCAGCCATGGGTTGAATAGCAGGGTAGACTGGGTTCTATAGCCTTAGTTGGCAACTAGTCTACCACAGAAAGGAACAGCAATTTACTGCCTAGTCAGTCATGTATCAAAAGAGACATGATCACTTAAGTATGTAGTGTATCATTTATGGCACTTAACTGACTGAAAGTCTGTGAAATAGATGCCTTAGTAAAAAGTACACCTTGGTCCTTACAAATACTAAGGACATATAACTCTAACAGCAAATAAGTCAATCTATAACACATCACCTTCAATCATTAGTAAGTAACTCTCTCTCACACACACCCACAGTCATCAAAGTAAGAGGAAGTTGATGCCTATGACTCGATCGGCAAACATCAAGTGCCTCCAACTGAGACAAAGAGAAAAACTGTAGGAACTGATACATCAGGAATATAAGAACTTTCAGTTCTGGAACATCAAGAACCAGGTTGGGTGGAGGCTTCAGAATTTGATTGAAATGTTCTTTCAACATGCTTCCACCCTTGACTTCAAAATTTACAGCCTCCAATCGTTGTCTTATTTTGCCTTCCGTATAATATTCACCAGCTTCAAATTTCTGTACAAGAACACAATCATTAAATTCACAAAAGAGATGTAAAACTTTTTGTTCTTCATTTAATATCCTATTGATCCTCTGAACCCAATGACATTTATTTGGTTTCAATAAGTAAAATGCTATCTGTAACCAATGTTTGAAGAATTCTCTGGTTGTTTGAATACAGAATAGTTTCAAGTGTAGAATTTTATTTTGAGTGTCTCTTTTGTATCTATTTTGATCTTTGTTTTATTGCCTCTTTGAATAGGCAAACAATATTTTCAGTTTGTTTTTTTTTTTGAGGATGAGTGATATGAAACTGTAAATATATAGCAAATTTCATTAAAGTTAATCAACTATTTGAACTAACTGCTGAGGAAACAAGGATCATTATCTTTTATTAATATCACTGGCATGCCATGCATAAGAAAGGTTCCTTTCAATTTCTCAAGTGCAGATTGGGCAGCAGATGACTTCATGGCAAATACTTCAAATACATATCAAAAACAATCAAGAACATATGCCCTATTAAGGGATCAGCAAAATCTACAAGTATTCTTTACCATGGTTGACTTGAATATTCCCATGTATGAATTAGGACTGCTCTGAATTTGAATGCATATTCTACAAGACTTGCATATCATTTCAGTATCCAGATTTGGCCACTGCACATAGCATTGAGCAAGAAGTTTAATATATAATATTCCTACATAGATTTAATGAATCTTGCAACACCTTCAACATGACACTTTGACTTTCTCCAGTATCTTCAGTTCTTCTTACATGTTAAAATTATAGTTTTAATTCAGTAATCACAACATGATTCCCCCAATAGGATTCTTTTGGGATTTTGAATATAATTCAAATCACAGGGGAATTAACCAAATACATCATATGATGAACTCTATTTTCTGAAAGTGAAAAATGCTCCACTAAGCATTTACTAGAAAACAACTAAGATAGTCAACATTACTGTTAAAGAACCCAGCATGATAGTGTAATTTGTAGTTATTGGGAGCTTGGAATAGTGTTTGATTCTGGCAGCAGAAAGAGCCTTATTTTTAGTAGTCCCAAGATAGGCTTATAGTTTGTGTACAAAGTGAAAAAGAAATTGCTATACTTTTTCCCTTTTTGATTTTTTTTTTTAAACTACTTATTTCACTCCAAGTAAGGTGATAATGCCACTAAAGATGCAAGAGGTTACTGAGAGTTAAAGAGAAGAAAGACTTTAGTGAGGAGAAAGAAGAGGATTCAGGAAAACAAAAGATGGTGATTCATACTGGTGGAAAACAAACCCAAGAAGGTACAAAGAGTTGCTCTCATGGAGATTAGCAGCAGTTATGCTGATGGAAGGTAAAAAAGATTCTCTATGGTAAATCTATAAAAGCAGTTTTGTTTTGGAGGCATTAAAATTTACAAGCCATTCCTTGGCCCAGTTAACCACTAATTAGAGGTAATTTTCAAAAGCAGCTGCCAGATTTACTTTGTCGGACCTGTAGTATTTGTTACCAAGACAGGAGTAAATAGTGGTGTCATCAGCATAAATACCTAATTGGGAACTGATGACATCAGGAATTTTCTTGATGAAGATAAGAAACAATGTAGATCCAAGGATAAATGCCTGAGGGAGACCTGTATTAATGTGAAATGATCTAGAAACATATCCATTCAAAATGATCTGCATTACAAAATTTAAGAATGATTGGATTAAGCCAAATATTTGTCCAGAGACACCATAGTCCTTGAATTGAGGAAAAGGCTAGCATGTCAAGCCCTATCAAATGGCTCGAGTTATCTAAAACCACAGCCTGAGCCTTGCTGTTCTTATTTAAACCCTGATAGACAAATTCAACAATAACCATTAACACTGTGAGACCTAGAGAAATGAAAACCATACTGTTTATCTGAAAGAATGTCATGTGAAGTGAGAGGCTTAACCAATTTGACATTGATTAGAGCCTCTAGTATTTTGCCAAAAAGAAGTAAAAGATTAATAGGGCAATAGTTCAAGGGGCCAGAACATTCAGAGTTCTTAAAGACAGAAACTACAAATGATTTCCAACAAGCTGGAAAGCAAAAAGCAGTGAGGCATTTATTGTAGAGTTTGGCGAGAACATGAGCCAGTTCAGGAGCACATTTCCTTAAGACAATTGCAGAGATAACATCAAATCTGCAAGCCTTGTAGGGATCTAGTTTGGAGACATATCGAATTTTTTTTTGATGGCAAGAACAAGTACTAATCTTTCTTTTTCAGTGTGTCTATACTAATCCTTTTTCAATGTGGACACAATTTCTCTCTGTACTTGAAAATGTATGCAAAATGTAATACACTAACTGGCTTTTCACTACATTTATTCATTCTGTTAGATATTACTGCTCCTGCAATAGGATGAAAGATGGCTGACTGCCAAAGAGGTTTGACAGTGTGAACTATCAAGAATACCTAGGATAGGTTAATGATTTTCCCCATCACAGAAATAGAGGGGAGTTTTTTTTTTTTTTTTGAAGGAAGCTATTTTTATTCAATCTGTCTCAAGAAATAAGATATAAAAATCAATTCAGAAAATTAATTTTATTCAATAAATGATACTAGCATTTGAAAACTATTGGATTTGAACATAGGGAAAACATTAAGACTGAGTAATAAATGACCACCTGGTCACTAATCCCCCACCTACACTTAAGTCAAGGATATGGCATATATGGTCCAGATGGTGTGTTAGGCTAAATAATTAATTCTCCAAAGCAAGAAAATGAGGTAAAATTCTTATTACTATCCAACAAAGTTGCTACTATTTCTTAGGTAAATGAGAATGTGTGATTCCTTTAAATCTCAAAGAACTCAAAATAGATTGTTAAGACTGAGCCACAGTCAAACAAGTTAATATTTGTCACATGATGTCAGTGTGAACTATGATACTTGACGACTTCAATTTTCTTATTTAAATGATGGCATAGCAGTAGATAGAGCTAATTGCTGCACTGAGATCCTGGTGGTGCTTTATTAGAAGGAAAGGAGTGTAGTCTTAGTTTTAAAAATGACATACTTTTCATGACAAGTGCTGCATGCGATACTAAACCAGTAATATAGAAAGAAGTAATTAATCTATAAAACATCCAATAAACAAACAAAAAATAAAAGAAATCTATTTATCTAATTTGAGCTAACAGCTGTGGCAGCCTCTGAATTAGGGATATAGGAGCAACCTGATCAGGCCAACTTGTAGCAGTTCACTTACCTATTTTCTTCATCTAAGCATGCTTATCATGGAATTAGAAACAGCTAATTGAAACAATTGCATTTGATCTTGATAAATATCCCATCAAGCCAAGGCATCAGTTTGAGATAAAAATGAATATTTCAATCACAGTTACATCAGAATTGTTTAGTTCTTGTAATTTTTGTAGTGGAGAAAGACTGGTTTGTCAGTGGTCAACAGCTACAATACATGTAATACCTATTTCAAGGGAAACCTAGAAGGAATTATGAACAGCTCACATCATGTAACTTGGAACAGAAATTTAGGAAGGCATTCCAAAGATCAGTGAAGAATCATTTCTAGATATT